GGTAGTCCCATCTTCTCTGCCCCCCAACTTGGCTGGGGCAGGCCAAGTTGGGGTGAGAGTGGAGGAACAGGAGTCATTGCCAGCCTTTCGGCTGGCCTGGTGCTCCCCAGCCAGAGGAGTAGCCAAGCAGCCTCATTTTAGGGCCCTAAGGAGGGGGAGGTGGAGAGGGTGGGCCCCCACCTTCCCACCAACACTTCAAACCTTCCCCTAACATTGCCCCCACCCAACCGCAGAGACCTCCACAAAATCTTCTGTGAGAAACTCTTCTGTCAGCTGAACACAACTTTTTGTGAGGGGGTAATTCATGCCCTCTGTCGGTGGTAACAGCATCTGGGTGTTTATCTGCTCACTGGCTGGTTGTCTGTCCAAAATTGGCATGAGGTTGGAGGAGGGAGACAGTAAGGTACTTACTCGTTGGGGTCTCTCAAGTGCCGTCCAAGGGGTAAGGCGCGGTCTGTCGGTGTTGAACTCGCTCAAGTGCCAAAAGTATGTTCAGTGCTCAGACAATACTTTGCTGTATTTGTGTTCTCCCAGGAGCTCATTGGCAGCATACGGCAGAGTAAACTTTCAGAAGTGGAGAAGTCAAGTCCTCACAGCCTTGAGGAGCCCAAAAGGAGTGTGTGGGGGGACAGGCACTGAGGTGGGCAGCACGCAGAACCTGCTTGTGAGCCTGAGATAAGCACCTTTCTGCCTTGTTGGCTTATTCATTTAAGTTCTGGTCCTGTGGCTTAGCATTGCTACCCATTCACATGGCGGCAGGCAGGGCAGGACTAGAGGCTTCCAGAGGTACTTGGGCCCCCTCACTGTGCCCCATCCTCCACGAGGGAACTGAGGCTTAGGAGTCTCCTTAATAAGTTCATGCAGCGAGCATGCGGCCTGGAGGGCGGGCTCTGTCCCGCCACCTAGACCTGGCTGTTCAGACACACAGTTTCTCAAATGAATATATTTGAGCTGGCAGCAAGAGACTTAAGGAACAGGGACAGTAACTGCAGATGGACAGGCCGATTTGCTCTCTTATAAAGAGGGACAGAGCAGGACATGGTGTAGAACTGAAAGCACACGGAAAGTGGTGTAGACGGTGTCTGTCAAATTTAGAAGCCCATGCTATGCTCTAAGAAGGGGATTTGGATCTAAATGACAGTAAATTAATGGAGAAAGAAAACCTATCCCAGATATCAAGGAGACCATGCAGGTGCAGCAGTTCCTTTTCAGCTCTGGTGCTTTCAGCTCGAAAAGCAGCACAGGTGTTTGCCTGTCTCTGTGACTCCCAAACTGTGGTGGTGGTGGGAGCAGGGTTTCCTCCTGGTTGAGTCAATGCACTGAGGTATGTGGCTGGAGGACTCCAGGAACCGTGAGTGACTCAAGGTCACTGAGGAGAGTTGGTGACGCACCTGAGGAGGTTTCCTAAGAGGCAACAGAGGGACGTTCTCTGGTCCCCTGAAGACAGGACTCTGTCTCTTTCCCTTTGAATGGGTGATAGATTCAGATGGGCTTGCAGCCCACAGGGCCGGGGATCACTTTCTGAAAACAAGTTGCCCACTTCCTACAGGCAGAGGCTCAGCGGCTGGGGCGGGGGTGGGGATGAGTAAGGATGAAAGGAAGGGGTGGTGTAGAAGCCCCCTTCCTCCTTTGAACTAGGTGCTGCTGGGACCACACCTGCAAACGGGTGCAATTCTCTGCCCTTACTCCTCGAAGTGGGGAGGGAGGGAGGCAACCTGCACTCCCAGGCGCCTCTGTGGTCATTGGACACCTCTTTGCAAGACAAAGAGGGAGACGCTAGCTGCCCCCATTTCGGAGGCAGGGAGCAGGTGTGATGAGGTCAAGGTCAAGGTCCACGGCTGCAGTCCAGCAGCCTCAGTCTGTGCCACAGTGATCTCCTTTGTCCAAATTTTTTTTTTAAAGATTTATTTATTTGTGCATACAGAACTGGGATACAGGCCAGAGGTGCAGGGTGGCGAGAGGCTTCACCATAGACAGAGCGGGGAGCAGAACAGGCAGATCGACGAAGTACACTGCTGAGGGGAGCAGCGGGCGGGCCAGGAGAGGTCTGCCACGCCAGGTGGTCACCTCCGGGGCAGGCGGGGATTGAACTCCTGCGGAAGCTGCTTTAGCTTCTTAGTGCTGTGCTTTAACCCGCTGCGCCACCAGGGAGGGCCCCTTTGTCCAAATTTTTAAGGTCAGGATTTATGAATAAATCTCTCACCAACGAAGATTTAAGTTGATTCCCTTAGTCAATATTACATTATGAGAGCCTCTTCTAAAGGACACTGTTTTTTCTAAGTTTTTGTTTTTTCCCCTCCAATTACAAAAGTAACATGTTTGTTGTAAAAATTCACACAACACAGAAATACATAAAGTGGAAACAGAAATTTCTTGGAATAGCTGCTGTTGATAGTTTAATGTATATCCTTTGCGAGCTTTTCTATGTATGTACATATGAGTATGTCCAGAAGTTTTGATCTATTATTAGAGGAAAAAAAGGTCAAATTTGAAGAATAGGATTCACTTTTCTATATTCTGTATATTGTGTAACATATATAATATTTTTATTTTCTGCTTTAAAAAGTATATGCAGGCCCTCCCTGGTGGCGCAGCGGGTTAAAGCACAGCACTGAGAATCTAAAGCCGCTTCCGCATGAGTTCGATTCCCGCCTGCCCCGGAGGTGACCACATGGCGCGGCAGACCTCTCCTGACCCACCCGCTGCTCCCCTCAGCAGTGTACTTCGTCTATCTGCCTGTTCTGTTTTCCACTCTGTCTCGGGTGAAGCCTCACACCGCCCCTGAGCCTCTGGCCTGTACCCCAGTTCTGTATGCACAAATAAATAAATCTTAAAAAAAAAAAAAGTACATGCAGAAAAATCGTGACAAATAGGACACTTTCAAAGACCTTTTGCACACATTTCTATAATGTTCTGTATTTGGGTCTTTAAAATATCTCTTTACTGAAGTATAGTCTGAATCTATGTCTATGCCATCTACACATGAAAGTTGACACATTGTGAGCACAGAGTTCAATGATTTTCCACAAAGTAACAAGCTCCCTGATGGAGAGAAAGAATACACCCCAAATCTTGTGCTCCCTTCTGATGTTCACTCCTGCCCCAAGGTGATCAAATCCTGACATCTAATGTACATTTAGTTTACTTGATCTCACCTTGCTTGAATTTTAACATTGACTATATATTAAATTTAAAATGAGAATAATCAATATAGATGTTGCTAACATGTATGCAGGTGTAGCTGCCATCATTTGAGGATCTTTTATGGACCTAAATTCTTTTTTCTTTAATTATTATATTAGTTTATTTTTACATATTTTTGTGCATTTTTCCATCTCAGTTGCAATCCCCTTGGGTTTCCCATTACCAAATCACCCATGTGCCAGGACTTAACTTCTTAACAGATGCACAAACTCCTTTATGAGGCTATGTTACAGTTGATCTGACTTCTTTTGATAGACATTTGAACTATTTCCAATTTTTGGCAAATTAGCAGCACTACCAGGAATAATGTAATTGTATTTCTTTATGCATGTTCTTTACGGTGTGTTTCTTTAAGCTACGGTAGAGATGCTAGTTAAAAGACAAGTTGATTAAATTTTTTTTTAATTAGAATTTTTTTTTTCATATGGCCCTGCAGAAAGAAGTAACAACTCAGTTTCTTCTTCAAAACAAAAGTCAGGTGGCTTGTGCAGACCTCCTCACCGCAGCCCCCACAGCTGGCAGCCAAGCCCGCTCCGGCTCCCGCTCCCTGGGCAGCGCATGCTGAGCCTGCCTTGGCAGGTGCGTGTGACACAGAAAACAGGCCGAGGAACACACACCCCAGCCCCCCACCCTCACCCCACAAGAACCTGCAAATAGCAAAGCACATTCTCAACAACGGCAGTGGGGAGATGCTGGTAAATAGCAGACCTGTAGCGGGATGAAGGGCCTTGAGGCCTGTTCTTATTTCCGTTGCGGACAGCGTGTGAGCCTTCAGGAAGGGCAGGTCACACTTCGAGGCCTTGGTTTCTTATCACAAACATGGGGTACTCAGAGCGAGGAGTCCACCTTAAAAGACAACCCCAGAAGTCTAGTGTAGGCTCTTGGGGGGCTTCTCCCTTTTCCCTCAGCCTTGGGAGACAATGTCCTCCTTGTCCTTGTAAGCCGATGGCAGAAAACGTTTACTTCCCTTGAGTACCTACTGCATCTATATCTGCCTAAGTTCACCACACCAGGGGTGCCTACCAGAAGCCTCTGAATAGAACCTGTTAGCCAATGTCCCACTACATGGCGCTTCCCAGCCCTGAACTGGTCAGGAAAAGCAGGTGGGCATTTATCTCCTTTGCGCTGAGCATCTTGCTCTATTAATGCAGTCTAAGGCTGCATTCTCCTTTGCCTCATAGCTCCTATACTGCTAAAGCCCAGCTTTAGGGGAGCTAAATAAGATCCAGGGACTTTTCAAAACATTACCAAATATTCACCTCAACTTTCCTCTCCAGCTCAGCATGTTCTCCTTGCTTTTTCCTTCTCTGAACATCAAAGCTGAGAAAGAGTGAAAAAAGAAAAAAGAGATTAATGGGCCATGACATAGACTAGAATGCTTCTTACCACCTCTTTGGCACAAGGTCATCAGCCTTGAGATGAGGAATCCTGGGGTTCCACCTTCAATAAAGATTAATGGGCGTGAAAGAAGGCAACCCAGGAGTGTCCAGAAGAGTTAGACCCTTGAGGTACCTCTGCCAGTTTCGGGGTGCCCTGGAGCTCCCCAACCTTCTCAGGACTTCACTGCACAAAACACGGACTATGGCATGTTTTGGGGCAAATGATGGACTTGGACACAAAGTGAAGACACATACACATTATCCTTGTGTTTCTTTCAATTGAGCATAAGCTTCTCTGTTACAGAGATGGGTTTTCATGTTTTTATAACACAGAAACCACTGTTATCTTTTACTCAGGACTTTATTTTTACAACCAAAGCAGTTTCACAAAAAGAACAGAAAGTGAGAGAAGAAATATACAAGCCAAGGGAAGGCAGACTTGAAGCCCAGAATCCTAATGGGAAATGAAGTAGCCTCTCATCCTCAGAACCACTGGCTCTGGGTCCTGCAGGAGGTGCTCACAGACTGAAATGACTGTGGGAGCTGGGTGAACCCCTCTTCAGAAGGCTGACTCCAAGCTTGGGTGGCCGCGGGGCTCTTGGTGAGCACTGGCCCCGTTCTGGGAAGAGGGCCGGGAGGCCACCATCCCTTGAGGGGCTCAGGACTCAGTGACACCATCCAACTTGCAAGATGGGGGCTGGACAGCCACCCAGAGCCCCTGCATGGTTTGGGGTGAGTACAGGAGCCAGCAGTGGCGTCACGGGCAGTATTTCTTGCAGGAAGTGCTCTGAGGTTCTGAAACTTTCTTCTCTGAGATTCCGGGTGACCAACTAAAAATAAAAGGTTCCTCTCATGCAGAAGGCCTACAGTACGAACTGTGCAGTAGTTAAAAGCAGGCAGTTTCAGCAGGTCAGTGGAATTCCCAGGTTGAATATACCTCTTCTCTCATTTTTCCAGATCACATTCATTACACTGGCCAATGCATTTTTGTAGCAGGACACCAAAAACACATTCTTTGCTCATTTATAAAACCTGGAAACAACAGCAAGTTATAAAACCACTTATTTTCAAGCAAATTATATTGAATTTTCTGTAATAGAGACAAATGACAGATGAGGGTACATGGTGACATGCCAAGTGCCCTGGCACCAACAGTTCAGGTTAGTATGATTTTAGAACCCATCTTAGTCACTTATAAAAACATTAAACACCTGCCTTTCCCCACACCTCCGGAAAAAAAAAAAACAGTCCAAAGAACTCTAGCTTTGAATAGTGTTACTTCCTGCAGTGCCTTCTGAAGTAAACTCTTCACAAACTTACGAAGTAAACTCTTCACAATTGTACCCTGAAGGGTGATAAGAGGTGGCAGGCTGATGGGATTATCTTCTGAGGTCAGTTAGAGACTGGGGACAGCAGATTTGTGAAGCTGTGCATTATTTCATTCACACCTCGGTCACTATCACAAAACCAGATGTAGTTTTCAAACTAAAATTTTTTAGCCACAAATTCATCGTTCAAGTGATACCTTATAGTAAAATGTAGTAGATGGATGTGGAGCAGTTCAGAATAAAGAGGGTTAGGGGGGGTCAGGAGCACCCCACCACTTCCCCATCTCAGGTGATCCCCAGAACCCCTGGGATCGCTGAAACATAAGATCCTACATCGAGTTCCTTCAAAACTGGCATCAAATTACTGAGGAACATGGGCATGCAGGGAACATAGCCACAGATGGTGCACCAAAGGGTCTCATTCTCCATAAAATGTCACCATAGAGAAGATTTTGCATGGAAGATTCTGGGGGTCTAGGCTTAGGTGATAAATTTATTCAAGCTACTGCCTCTTAGGGAAGGGGTAGTTTCTAAGTCTAACACATAAGATGGAAATTGCACATCATCAAAATTATCATTGAACTTGCATAAACTATAGCAGGTGTGTCAGCAGTTATCTATACAAACACATGTGAACAACAATGTAGAACACATAATAAAGAGACTTGATATGCAAATGACAGTTTTCAAGATTTAGAGATACATTTTGATTCTTTGTTGTTGGGCTTGTAAAGTGGACATTCTTATGTTACATGAACTGTGTTTCAACTCCATGGGGCCAGACAGAACATTCTAGGGAATTAGCCTAAGAAGTGTGCACAACAGCCATGAGGTTGGTACTATTGTCCTGGGGTCAGAGATTCTACGTGACTTGCCTACGGTCACATGGTGAGGGGCAGGCAGGCTTCCAATCCTGATCTGCTCCAAGCCAGAGCCAGAGCTGCTCTAGAGAGCAGGATCCTGATGCCTCTTCAAAGTAGAGGTGGGGGACAAACTTCTTTTTTCCCCAAATGTCTCTTCATGGAAGAGATAGGTGTATGTGACTCAGTGTCTATTTTGAGGAAGAAAAAAACAATCCAAGAAAATGGGCCATGGCACAGTGTGGACCCTGGGCAGCTCTGGCCTCCGAGGGCCTTTGGCTCTACCTGGGCTTACCCAGATTGGTAGATCTAAAGAGCAAGGACTTTTTAGTCCCTGCAGCTATGTGATTTTGTGGGTTTGCCAGTTCCTGGGACCAGATGAGGGTGCAGGGTGGGAGATGAAAGCAAGATACCCCATACCTCACACCAGCAGGAAGGAGAGGACTGTTGATGGGGCATGTGACCTTGGGGCGAACAGAGTTTTTTCCAGTTGGATTCTCTTTACCTTAAGCAAGTCTTTCAAGTGATTTGTAAAAATAAGCCTTCTATGTCTCACAGGCCCAAGACCACTGAGGTGTTGGGCAGGAGGATCCTGCCATATTCTATGCATGTACGAGTTGATTGTCACCGTCAGGAGAGCTGAGAGCTAGATCTCACTGTCTTTGAAATAAATGTAAATGACTAATCAGCAGTCATTTGTTGGATTAAGCTCACTTTTCCTGAACTCTGTCATCCCATCTGTCTACTGGGTCTATGTTTTTTTTTTGGATTTGACTCTTGGTGTTTGGAGGCTGTGAGCAGCAGGGGGCAGAGGAAGCCCCCAGTGTCTGGGAGTGGGGGGAGCACTTACTGTTTTATGAAACGAAGCCGGGCTTTCCTTCTTTGACCTAGAGCAAGAAAATAAAAATATCGGTTGGCATAGGCTGTGGGCCACTAACACCAAACCCCAGGGTGACGGGAAGGGCAGTGAACACCTCAGACCACTTCCTAGGTCCCAGACTCTGCTCCAAACACCTCACACATTTTAACTCCTTTGATGTTCCTAGCAGATCTCTGAGTTGAATTCTACTCCAATTATTCCCATTTTGTGTATGGGAAACGGAGGCACAGAGTGAGAGTTACTGAATAACTTGCTCAAAGTCAGGCAGTTAGTAAGGGATAAAGTGAGGACTCAAATTCAGTTAATCTACCCCGGTCTGCTGTCCTTAAACAAGTTGTCCTGTTCTTCCCAGCAAATCAGGAATGACTGGTTGTACAGACAGGTGTTCTTAAACTTGAGTAAGAATATTCCGGGATGCACAAGATTTCCCACTGTGATGTAGGAAAGAAATATGAGCATATCTAATTACATATGATCTTACTCTTTACTACAACTTATTTTCAAATCATTTTAATGGAATGCATATTATTTGAATATTTAATGCATATTATGTGAGATAAATAAGTACAAGTAGTTACAGTGTTTATAATTTAAAAGTATTTTGCCAGTGAAGGCCTTGATCAAAAAAGTTTGCAGAGGGCCTCCCTGGTGGCCTAGGGATTAAGTCCCGTGCTACCATGGCAATGGCCGGCCTGTGGCAAAGAGGCCTGAGTTCAACCCTCTGCCAGGAAGCTGACCCACACATGGCTCAGCAGACCTCTCCTGTGTCACCCACTGCTCCCCTCAGCAGGGTATTGCTGCCCATTCTGCTCCCCGCTCTGTCTCTGGTGCATCTCCCACCACCTGTACCTCTGGACTACACCCCAGTTCTTCTACTCAAAAATTAAAAAAAAAAAAAAACCTAAAAAAAAAGAAAAAATCAAAAAAAAAATAAAAAAAAAAGTTTTCAGAGCATTGAATTTTAATGGAGTAAATACCACCCAATTGTGGGTGGCAATTGTATGAGCTCCTGGGAGAGGACCCATAATTGTAGTCATGCACTCAAAGGGGTCTGTGACTTAAAAAAGAGTTGTGACAGGCGATTTGGTGATGGGAAGCCCATGGGGATTACAACTGAGATGGGAAAAGGCACAAAGTGATGTAAAAATAAACTATCATATATTAAAAATAAATAAATAAATAAAAGAGCTGTGACCCCCCCTGTGCCCTTCCTCCCACTTTAATGAAGCCCAGAGAGGGAAAGTGACTTGCTCAAAGTGGGACAGTGAACAGAGGTACCGGGAGCAGAGCCTGGGGCTCCCTGGAATGATGTGGGGCTCCCCTCTTTACTATCAACCCAGTACAGTGCAGGGCCTGAGGAGCTCACAGGAGATGGTCCCATCTCTGAGTTTCCCTACAGCCTCCCAGTGGGGAGGAGTTTTAGCTTCTGGGGTCACATCCTGCACCCCACCGCAATCTCTCTGTGTTCTGACTTTCATGGTGGCATCACGAGGAGGCGCTGAGCACAGGCCCATGTGGGCCATGTGGGGCAGGAGTTTATAAACCGCCATACTGGGAGATAGGTTACCCCTGAGCTGAGGCTCAGAGACCAGGGTGCACATCCAAGGTCACCCGATATTGGGAGCAACAGGGTTGGATTGAGACTCCTGAGACAGGGTGAACTCAGGCCCTTGCAGCATGACCTCAGGCCAAGAATCTCTTCTGAAATTCCCACACTTTTGGGGGGTAAGGGACAGACTTCAACCAAGCTGCCCTGCTCCCCTAGAGAAGGAAGAACTTTCAGGGAAATCTCTTACTGCAAAAGGGGTCGTCAAGATAGCCCCAAAGAGGACAACTTACAGTGCTGGTGGATGGCCACTCCCAAGGACACCAGCAGGACCAGGACACCGGCCAGCAGCAGGCCAAGGGTGACGAAGCCACAGGACAGGTCTGGGAGAGACACACATCAAGGGTTTGAGCTACAACTAGAAGCCTTGTCTCCCAGAGAGTATCACTGCGTGCATTATTTCCTTCTAGTCTTTTTTTCTATGCATTTCTGACACACTGAGATAATTTTACATATGAAATTTCATGCCTCACATGCAAATTTAAAAGTATTTCATTAAATGCAGGATCTATTTATATCCAAAGGAGACCGGCCATTTCCACCTGCTAACAAGGTAGTTAACTTTGCCCCTTGCACTCGACAGTTGGATGTAACTGCCATCATTCCTGTGGTAACTGTCTCTTTGTAGTTACATATATGTAACTGATACAGACACATCATATGGATTATACAAATTGTTCTCCAACCATTTTTTCCCTTGCACTCAAACATTTCTGTGCATTTTTAAAAAAAGATTTATTTATTCATACAGAATTGGGGTACAGGCCAGAGATGCGGAGGGTGAGAGGATTCACCAGAGACAGAGTGGGGAGCAGAACAGGTAGAT